TTTCCATATATGTCTCTGAAAGAGGAATTTCAGAAAACCTTTTGGGTTGAATAAATTCCAGATAAAAAATTGATCTTAATTTCACCTACCTACAACTTAAAGGAAAAACATGTAAATAAGTAACACTGAAAAGATTGCTTTTTATAACTCATTAGTGATTGGCATATTATTTGAAAAGGTAAAATAGAAAAAAGATAATCTCATCAGTTTTAGTCAACTACACCTATCTATTGAATACTTTTAAAATATTGAAAACACATAGAAAATCCTAAAGTTGTTGAAAGTCACACTTACTTAACCTTTTAAAAGTATTTATTTTCCATTTTCAGAAGAGCATGCTTGAATATAATTTTAAAAGAGTGTTGTAAATTGAATTCCCAACAGGGACTGGAACATTTACAGATTAAAAGCATTTTAAAATTCCTGTGTGGCACACTCTACTTTCATAGGATGTGGAGAGGGAAAAAATGCTCAATTTGCAGTGGATGATTAAAGAGAAGTTAAAAGCTAATAGACTTCTAAAATACTTAAAAAAAATTTTCAAACTTGACTTAGGCTACATTAAACTATACTCCCCTACCAACTACCAGTCAAGGAGCTATCTAAAAAATACGGCTGCATGTCCAGTGATACATGGTGGCTAATGCCCGTAATCGTAGAACTTTGGGAAGCCTGGGCAGTAGGATTATTTAAGCCCAGAGTTCAAGACCAGACTGGGCAATATAGTAAGACTCCCATCTCTAAATAAATTATATATATATATATATATAATATATATATATAATTATATATATATAATATATATATAATTATATATATATAATATATATATAATATATATATATATATATATATATATATATATATGGCTGCAAAAAGTACCCAAAATCCTTAAATTCAATTGTAAAGTTATATTAAGTTTATATTCATATATTGCATTGTTTCTCAAACATATTATCAAGTTCTGGCATTAAAATTTTTAATTGGCTTAGGGGCATACAACTCACCTTCAATGCATATAATTTTATATGTTAAGTATAATGCCAAGCATATCATTTAAATCTTTTAAATTGAATGCTCACCTTTAACACCTAAGATTTTAAAACTTTCTCTAAAAATACTTGCATTTTAAAACAAAATTTGTAAAAAAAATCCTATTTTAGCAGGCTTGATTATATCAACTGGTAAAACTTTATTTTACAAGCAATAGGAATTGGATCAAATGATTATTATAACCCAGAAGTATTTTGTAACCACAGCAAATGCCATTATACATACTGCCAATACAGATTTAATAGACAATACTGAACTGTACAAGAGTTATTTATTTTTCCTTAATCTCAAAGCTATTTTTAGTCATACAAAAAAGCCATATTAACATTTTTTCTGTTAGAAAACATGATGTACAAAACTTTGGATGAAAAGATACGTCAAATTTCATTTAATAACTTGGAGGAAAACCCACCAACTCCATCAATACCACCCAAAGTGTTTTAGGCAGTGAAGAAAATCAAAATAATGCATCTTAATAAATTCCAGCAGTTAAAAGAACAAAATTAGCAAATATAATAGTTTGCTACACAGGATTTTTGACTATTCACTTTGGGAGTTATTTTTAAAAATCCACTTTTTTACTGAGTCCTACTACATACCAGGCACTGTAGTTGGCCATCTAGGTAACTAAGAAAAAAATTGGTTAAGATAGTAAAGACCCATAAATCAGTCCTTTGGTTACCAAATTCAATGTTTAACTTTCAAACATCCTCCAAGATCAAGAAACCCTAACTAAAAATACACACCCTTCTAAGTGTTATTTGATTTTATTAGTAGCAAAGGTGTTTGGTAAGGTCAGGAACCACTATTTTTGATCTATTATTCCAATTAAGAGTGTTTGTCAAAAGCTAATTTGTTATTTTTCTAATGAGTTTAAGATTTGGCATTCAGTTGTTACACATGTGGTTCAATGATTTATCATGAACCCTAAACTGCACACTGCTCAAAAAGAGCAAAAGAGATGTGCATTACATGAAATAATAATTTTTGATACATATCTTAAAATTCAATTCAGTTTAGGATCCCGTGAAGAAAAAGATATCCAGTTATCGGGTGGTAAGGTGCAAAGGTAAAATAGTAAAGATTATTAATATGCAGTGAAGCATTATTGTCTATCTTATCCTTTGAGTAACAAGATGCTTAACACGCTTCCAAAAAAAAAAAAAAAAAAAAGTGCTTGAAACTATGCTAAAGGCCCATGAACTGACATCATCCATTCAACACCATTACTTTGTTACATAAACCTGTTTTCTTAAAATATAACATATTAAGCAATAATTTGGAAATTAGCCAAGCACTAAGCAATTACAATAGCAGGTAATACACCATCAATTTTTGAAACACATTTGGCCACATTTCATGACCCATATGCAATATGGATTCAATAGATTCTTACTCAGTTTAAAATTTGTTTCTGGACCTGAATGACAAGAAAATGGCTTCATGAAATTTTTTATAAGACATTTAAATAGTCTTAGGTTCACACCCCTTTTGTTCTAAATGATTTAAACTGACATGCTATGTAACTACCATAAAAATTATGTGCAATTCTTAAATGAAAACTAAAAGCCAATAAAGGGTAACAGATTTGACATGGAATGTTGTAAGATCTCCCGGAACGTAATCTGACACTGCGGATTATGAATTTCAGAGTTTGAAAATTTCCGATTAAGAACCACAAGAAAATTTACTCTTAATGGCATGCAAGATCTTCCTAAAAATTAACCTAAGACCTAGAAGTCTCAGCATTATTAGAACATAAAGAAACACAACAAATTTGTACATTTTATTCACATTTATTTTTCGCTTTTAGTGTGCTCACAGAAAATTAGAACACCTTAAGCAGGAGTTTAATAGCAATTTTTGTAAGCAAAGTTACATTCCATCTCTAAGTCAAATTGGTCAAAGCTTCTCCAGTATTTACAAAACATGATAGACAAGATGCTACACAAAACCATTGCATCTGAAGATTTTTTTTTCCTTTATTCTCAAAGACGACTGGAAAAGAAAGCATTATCTGCTGTAATCAAAAACATACCACAGTATAAACAGTAACCATTCCACTTATCACAGCTTTGTTGAGTTTAAAATTTGTGTTTAAAAGGTCCAAGATGACTGCAGTTTTACAAAAATGGGCAGGGTGGAAAGTTGCAAACTTCATGTGCTTCTGGATATCAAGATTTGTTTTTATACAATAGTCACAGTTAAAAACACCCTGCTGGTAATACATAATTACACTTTATTAAGGTCATAAACCAGCAATAAACAATAAAGCCTATACAACTTGTAGTTCTACTTAATCACTGACTGGTACAGCTAACATGAGATAAGTGAAAAGTTCCTATGGTTTAAATGAACTCCTAAGACTATGATCTTTTTTTTTTTTTTTAAATCTGGGTATTGGTGTTTTTTTTTTTTTTTTCCTTTTTCCTTCTTAGTCAAGACTTGTAGTGTTGTAAACCTGCCTCACAAAATACATGGTAATAACTTTTCTTAAAAAAAAAAAAAAAAAAAAAAAAGACAGCCTTTACACCATTTCTAGTGGCACATTATTTTGGCAATGTTATGCACCACTCCGATTTCCCCAGTGTGACCCCTATCACTTCATTTGATATCCCTTTTTGACCCACCCATCTCCTTCATATATGGGCATGTCCATAGATTGACAAAGAAAGTTTACATTTTTGAAGAAAGATGCAAAGTATGCAAAAACATTAATACTGATGCAAAAAAATAAAAAACAAAAGAGAAACAAGGCAGAGGAAGAAGGTGTTTAAGCTCTCCTCGACCTGTTGGAATGGTGGTTAACAGAATGATTTGAGATGGGATCTGCGGGGAGGGGAGAAAAAAACCCAAAATTTGGTGCTTAAAAAAAAGTGAAATAAAAAAGAGACATCTTTAAAATCAATCCCTGGTTGTAGACAAGTTCTCCAAAACCAGTACCTGGCACCACTCCAACAAACAAACGGGGGAGAAAAGTCCTTGGATTATCTCACAGAAGCTCGCTCTCTTACTCTGCCGCCTCCGCCGGGGGGGCCTCCGGACTGCACTCGGGCTGGGCCTCCTGCGAGGGGGCTGCGCAGGCGGACGAGGCGGCGGCGCCCGCGGGCTCCTCGGCGGGGACGGCCTCCTGCTCCGGGGGCGCGCCGGGCCCGGCGGCGGCGGAGGGGGCCTCGCAGGCGGCGGCGCTGGCCCCGGCCTCCTCGGCCTTCTTCTCCTCGGCCTTCTTCTCCTCCGCCTTGCCGGGCTCCTCCGCGGCCTTGGTCTCCTCGCCGGCGGGCGGCTTCTCCGGCGCGCCGGCGGCCTCCTCGGGCTTGGCCTCCTGCGGGTCGCCGCCCGCCGCCCCCTCCTCGCCCGCGGCCGCCTCCTCGCCCGGCGCCGCCGCCGCCTGCTCCCCGGAGGCCGCGCCCGCCTCGGCGGCGGCGGCGGTGGCGCCCCCGGCGGCCTCGTCCTTGCCGCCCTCGGCAGCGGGCGCCTCCGCCTCACCGCCCTCTCCGGCCTCCTTCTTGTTCTTCTTGAAGGAGAAGCCGCTCAGCTTGAAAGACTTCTTGAAGGAAAAGCGCTTCTTTTTTTTTTTCGGGGTCTCGTTGCTGGGCGAGGGCGTGGCCCCGTCCTCGGCCTTGGGCGAAGACGTCGAGGAGGCGGCCGACGCGGCCTCCCCCTCCGCGGCCGAGGGCGACCCCGGCTCGCCGGCCTCGCCCTCCGCGGGCGCCTCCTTCTCCGCCGCGCCGGCCCCGGCCTCGGGGGCGGCGGCTGCCGGCTCGTCTTTCTCCGCCGCGACGGGCGACGCCGCCCCGCTCCCCGCGGCCGCGGGCTCCTCCTTGTCGGCGGCCGGGGCGCTGCCGTTGGCCTGCAGCTCCTCCTTGGCGCCCGACTCGGCGGCCGCGGGCGAAGCGTCGCCGTTGACCTTCACGTGGCCATTCTCCTAAGGGGCAGAGAAAGCGGGAGCGTCACTGAAGCGGCGGGGGCCGCGGCCGTTCCCGCCCCCAGCCCTGCACCGGGAGTGCCCGCTTGCCCCTAAGGCCCCTGTGGCCACCGAGACCCCAGCGCCGCTGTTGCGGGGAGGTGAGGGTGCAGGCCCGGACGAGAGCCCCACGAACGACGAAATGGGCACCGCCGTCCGGAGACCCCGAAGAGCACGACTGTAGCCCCCAAATACGGCAGTGGCCCCAGTCGTTCAGCAAGTGCGCCCCAAAGACGAAGTCTGAAACGAACCAAGCAAAGGCTGACCTGCCAGCCCTCGCCTTATGGGGGACTTAGGGGGAAAAAGGTGCCAAAGAATACCGTGCACAGCAAACGCCCTTTGGAAGAAGGCACAGAGCCAGAGCTGGCGGTCCGCGCTTACGGTGCACATCCCTCTTTCTCCCTAAGCACATAAAGGCCTCTTCAGAAGACCAGGAACTCCCAGGGGGACCACAGCCCTGCAGCCAGAAGCGCCCGCGCTGGGCGCTCCGGAGCCCTGCGCCCGCCCACGGCCTTGGGGCCGGCAGGGGGCGCTGTGCCTCCACCGCGCCGCTCTGGGTGCAGGCGGGCGGGGAGGGGCGGAGTCGCCGGGCCACCCCGCCCCGCCCTGCCCGGCCAGGCCCTGCCCGCAGGCCGAGGCGCCCCCGAGCCCAGATCGCGCAGCCCAGCAGTCCGCAAACAAAGCTCAGGTGGCTTCCTGGCCTCCCGGTCGGGCTGAAACCGACCAGCCAGGGGGAAACCCATTATTTCTGAGGTCTCGCCTCTACTTCCACGCCCACCTTCGCCTGTGATTCTGCGAAGCCTGGGCTCGCCTCGGAGGCTCATTTTGCATTTTTAACGGGTTTAAAGCCTTGGCAGACCTCGCTTTTCCCCAGTAGTTTAGAGCAGACGAAGCGACACGATCTCTTCTCTAGGAAAAGAGGCGTGGTGGGTGCCCAGTGTTTGCGAAGCAGCCACCCATGGCCGACCTCTCGCGTCCACCCAACCGTGGCGATCTGCCTGGGTCTGGGCAGCGCCGGGCGGCCCCTGCGGGTGGTCGAGGCGCCACGCACACCAACAATCCCGACCGAAACGCACGAACCGCCTCTTTTTGACCATCTGGAAAGGTTCTTGAAGGACCCACCGAGTGTTCCCACCCTACAGATACCATTTAAACATAAAATGGGTGTATAATTCCACAGACAGCTACATATAAAGATTCAGGACAGTGGGAAAGCCCCATCGAAAGGTACCGAAGCCCTCTGTCCAGCCCCAGCCAGTCACCTTTCCAAGAACTCAGGGCACGCCGCCGCGGCATACAATAAGACAGCCTTTCCCTCCTCGCCTTTCTCCACCACCATCCCCGTTGCGCCCCCCTCCCCAGACTCCCGCCCCCCCGCAATCACACCACCAGTTCAGAAATCTCGAAGACGACCCAGCCTCGACAACAAACACGAGAGCTACTCAAACACCATTGTGTCCCCAAACACAAATGCAACCTGGCTGGGGTGGTGGGGAGGGCACCTAGCTAGTCACGTTCTGCCAATCTCCAAACCACGCCATTTTAGACGATTTATCACTCCTTTCCTCCCGTCTACTCAAGAATTCTCCAGGATTCTAAGGAACCACTCCTTTAGTGTAGAGGGAGGACCCCTGCTATGAAAAATCCAAAATTGTGACTATCAATTTCTAATCAACTTTCAGACTAGAATCGGCTACACTCCTGTCCACGAATGCGCCTTGGGAGCCACCAGGAGGGAAGGAGAAGCAGAGAGACTAGAGAAAGACACCAAAGAAACGACACAACCACAGGTAGAATTTACCTGCCCGTTCGCTTTGGAAGGCGACGAGGCCACAGCCGCCTCCCCGGGCCTCTCCGCGGCGGCTTCTCCCTTCGCTGCGGTCTTGGAGAACTGGGCACCCATGCTGGCTTCTTCAACAAAGAAACTCAACAGATCCAAGAGGGGAAACAAAGAGCCTCGGGTTGGTGTAACGACGGGGCGAGCAGCAGCACCAGCAGCGGCGGCGGCAACAGCGGCAGCGGCACACACACCGGAGGGAGGGGGGTGGGGGTGGTGGAGAGGACAGAACAGACCGATTAAATACACTCCGGTTAAAAAAATTTTAGTCGAAGAGATCAAAACGCAGCAGCACAGGAGGGAGGGAAAAAGGGTGGAAAAGTCGAGCACAAAAACAGGAGCCCAAGTGTAGTTCGAAAAAAAAAAAGAAGTAATAAAAAAATCCCAGATTTGTAGCCGCACTGTAGACAAGAGGAAAATGGAGAAATCTCCCTGGTTGCTAATAAGATGCGGGGTCCAACGCCCAAGTGCACAGATGAATGGGCTCGCGGGCGCTGACGCGGCCCCCGCGCCCGTCGGCCAATCCGCGCGCCGCACACAAAGCAGGGGGCGGGGCCTGCGCTCCCGGCGAACAATGGAGCCGCGCTTTGCAAACGGTTTGAAAATCAGCCTCAGACCGAGAATTAATGTCCTCCAAATAAATAAATCAATTAAAAAATACATGCCACTCGTCTCCCTCTGCTTGAAAATTATAATGCATTTCTTGATTGGCTTGCTTTGTTTGGAATTAATTAACGCGGGAGGGGGGTACTTGTGCAACGGGGCGGAGAAAGCGTTAACTTGACTCGCATTGACTCTCGTCGTTCTGTATCTGTGTGTCTCTCTCCACTCGCTCCCCTCCCCCATCTCTCCCGATTGTTTATGTGTATGTGTGTGTATGTGAGTGTTAAGGACAATGGTTGCGATTTGTGTGTTTGCAGCATGTTTTCTTTCTTTCTTTTTTCATACTGGTTTCACAGATAATGCGCAGGGTTTGTTTTTTCAACTGTTGCAATGGTTAAATCGTCCCAAATTGAAAGGTATTTAAATCACGAAGATCGAATTTCATCAAGCGAGATTGCAAGTTAGAATTAGGTCTGTAGGCCAGATGTGGAAAATGCAAAAGCGGCAAACAGCGAAGCCACACTCCCTTCCCTCTCCCACACTGGCATGAAATAAAATATTTTGAGATTGGCCTTGGGCGCTCACCAAATTCCCCCTTCTCTGGTTATTCCCAATTACTGATTTTTTTCCCCCTTACAATTCAAAGCGAGAGCCATTTACAGAAGATCGAAACTCTTCGCGTTTTGTCACTGTTCGAAATGACATAATTTTCCTCTATGGGTGAAATGAGACACAGCCTCGAGTAGACGAATCCATATTTACAGTTGGGATGTTATTCGCGTCAATATGGATCGTTTTCAGCCTACTGCCAGAATCGGATGGACTCTTTTGAACGTGTGAGTGTGTGAGTGCACACGCAGGCGAATGTGCTCCTGGAAGGAAGGGAGGCAGCAACGATGACATTCTAAACCGGATTACAGTTCTTAGGAGAAATGTTCTTCATGTTAAGAGATAGCAAGATCCCTGAGAGCTCCAAGTCTAACTTGGGTTAGAGGAAAAGCTTCTATAATGGAACACAGGATACCTCCATCTGTCACTGCACTCCTTGCCACCGAAGTACCAGACGCTATTTGTGCGTGAGAGACAAGGCACTGACTTAAAGTATGGGAGGTGAGGGGGACCAAGGAATCAGCTTAATAAGCATTCCACTAACACCCACATTTTTCTTCCCAAAGTTTTCACTCGTGGCAAAATCAGACCACCTTTTCTCTTTTACATTTGGTGATCCTGCAAGGAATTATCTTTCGCTTATGAAGGTGAGAAGCAGTCGAGGGAATGGTTCATTTCTCCTGGTGCTGGCTCTGAATTCTCGAACAGTTTTATTTTCTGCTCATTGCAGGGAAATAGGTCACACTCTGAGTGACAAAGACGGTTGGTTCAAGCCAGTAACTCTTTGTTCAAGCGTTGCTTTGAAAATCACCAAGCCGAACATCGTTACGTGAAGCTTCGTCTTCTCACTGTCCAGTTCCTTGAGATGCATTATTCGACCACGGTCGTATTATTCCCCAGAGCTGATGTAAAGACGTTTCCGTAGAAGTGCATCTTGCCAACAAACGTGTTATTACCCTTAAGGGAGCCCGCTGGCCTGGCCCACGACCCCAGCCGCCAGGATGGACGCGAATCCCTTGTATTAGCAATTCCAACTTGAAAAGCCAACTGGGCTGATCCCATACCACCATCCAGGCGATTCCCAAAAGCTCTTGATTTCCCCACACCCCCAACATGAATCATACCCCTTCCTCTGCATCCCCCTTCTATTTTAAATTGGGGTGACTGCTAGCTCGCTTTCGGGTTTTCTCCCAGACGCGTCCTTAGCCCTCCATTTGGGGGCTGCTTTTCTTGCTCCTTTGTTACCAGGCTGCCGTGTAGCTTCCCCCCTTTTCTTTCGCGTTCGCCTATTTGCCTGGTATCGGCTGGTCTCCCTGGCAACGGCCGGGGAAGATTCGGAGCCCGGGGCCGGGGGAGGGGGAAGAGGCGGAGCCGGCGCTGGGGGGTGGCGGTGAGGGAGCCGCGGGCCGTGAGTGGCGGAGGGGAGAGGGGCCGAGTGAGAGACTGGGAGACAGACTGCGAAGCAGATGGCCGCGCGAGGGGGCGGGGTGCGGGCGGGGCGGGGGGACAGCCCCAGCGTCAGGGGCGCTAGGGAGCCAATCAATTCCCGCAGCAGCTCCGGGGCAAAAAAAAAAAAAAAAAAAAAAGTGTAAACACATAGATTTCCTCCCCCAGAACGGTCTCGGCCTCTAGTTTACAGTAGAAAAGATGACTTCTTTTTGATAGGCAAGCGCGTTTCTAGGGTGGCTGGAAAGCCGACGGTCCCCAGCAAGTGGTAGGCAGGGGCTCCTTGGAGGGCGCTGCGGGCGGCCGCGGAGGGCTGGGCCACCCTTTCCCCAACCTCCCCCAGCGACAGCGTCGTCCGAGCAAGGGATTTCTTCAGTTATGGGGAAGGGGGTGCAGGCGGAGGATGGGTGAGGAAGAAAGGGCTGGGAAATGGGAAACGGTTGTTGTTCTTCTTGCAAAACTACGTAATGACAGGGAAAGAAGGCCAAGAACGTGGAACTGGTGGAGAAGCAGCCTCATGCAAGTGTGGCTCCTCAGGAGTTTGCTGTGCTCACACGCAGAGTTCAAGGTTTCAAATAAAGCGCCAAAAGTGTTTCTATAAATATGACTAAAGAACCCAAGAGGTCATAGTGAAAATGTAAAACCGGTGTCTGTAACCAACTCCCCGGGAAGAAGCGGCCATTTATTCTTTATGTGTACTTCCCTTTCACCCTGCCCTAACATATTTGCAAGATAATAATCTGTGTATACGTTTCTTTAGAAAAAAGAACAATTTATTTAAGAGACCTATTATTTTCCTGCAAAATGTTAGCGTTGGAAAGAATTTTAGAGTTCATTCCACAAAATCTTGAGGGCCCAGCGTGCCAAACACAATAATCTAGACCTTGTTTTCGTATCATGGAACAAGACAAACTCAGTCTCTGACCTTGAGAGGTTCCATTTTAAAGATCACCTAGTGAAGTTGGACTGGAGCACCTGGCTTCCCCCTCTCAATAGACGAAGAAGTAGGCACAGGATAGTTTCCGAAATGGTAGAGCCAGGAATAGAGCTCAGTCGC